ATAAGAGGACCACCAGAGGGGAAGGTCATCATTGCATAACAGGACCATCAGAGGGGAGGATCATCATTGCATTACAGGACCACCAGAGGGGAAGTCTAGACTTTGGTAACAGGAAGAGCAGAAGGGAAGTCCAGCATTTGGTACCAGGACCAGCAGAGGATATGTCCAGCACTGGGTACCAGGACTAGCAGAGGATATGTCCAGCATTGGGTAACAGGACCAGCAGAGGGGAAGTCCAGCATTGGGTAACAGGAACAGCAGAGGGGAAGTCCAGCATGGGGTAACAGGGCCACCAGAGGGGAAGTCCAGAAGTGGGTAACAGGACCACCAGACGGAAGTCCAGAAGTGGGTAACAGGACCAGTGGAGGGGAGGACCAGCACCGGGTAACAGGACCAGTAGAGGGGAGGACCAGCACTGGATGTTAGGACCAGCGGAAGGGAGTCCAGTACCAGGTGACCGGGCCAGTGGAGGGGAGGACCGGCACCAGGTGACAGGACCACAGGAGGGGAGGACCAGCACCGGGTGACAGGACCACAGGAGAGGAACACAGATTCGCAGGTTACTGGTAATGTAATCCAAGGGCACTGTACCACTGAGTTATACCCCCAGGCCTTCTTTAAATCTGTATTTAGAAACTGTATTTAGTTACTAAGTTGCTGAGGCTGGCCTTGAACTTGGGATCCTCCTGTCTCAGCCTCCTGGTGACCAGGATCACAGGCCTGCACCACCATGCCTGGCAAAACCAGGTTTTTCAAAGAGGGCAACAAGTTGATGGCAGAAGTTCTATCACAAACGAGAACAGAGAACCCTTGGAGTGGTGCCTTTCATGAGTCACTGTGCAGGGCCTTTGTTCATCTCTCACTGTGTTGCTTTTTTCTCTTAGTGAGTGAATCACTACCTGCTTTGGTCATTGGCCCTTTATGATGTTGTAGGGCAGGTCACTCAGAAAACACACAAGTCCCAGTTTTGTCCAATTGAAAAGTCTTTATTCTGCCCAGCCAGGACTTCTTCCTACAGCCTCGAGCCTCAACATTTTAGGAAACATAAAGGCAAAAACTGCATTCAGATTGACATAGCAACTAGCAAGCCAGCAAACAGGAGTATAGAAGCTGAATAAAGACATTAGCGAGACAATGCAGCGTCCTTCATCATGCTTTCGTTCTCATTCAGTATCTCTCATGGGATTTTCCATCATCATAATCAAAAGATAAATGGATCAAAGTGCCCCTAGTAAAGTACAAGTTAAAGAGTGGTTAGTAACATCTAATCAATTATTGCCCAAGAAAAATGGGAGCCAAAGAGAACAATTTCACATTGTATAAGAATTGCTATCTTGTGCTGCCAGGCATGTTATGCTGGTAACTATTAATGGGTACAGAGGAGGACTTCCCGTGGGAGAAGCACTTCTTACAATGTGGAGGCTGTTTGATGACTGCCCAGGAGCCTGGCCATGAGCCTCAGACAGTGGTCTCGGCTACTCTCCTGCCCACAGGCAGCACACTCCTTGTGCTGTTTCCTTGCTGGGCAACTTTCTGACTTAATGGAGCTCCACTAGCCTGTGTTGTCGACAGAGATTTCAGGGTGTTATCCAAAACATTGCCCAGGCCAGCACCAAGGAGCTCTGTGACCACTTCTGGGAGTGCTAGGGTTCCATGTGGGTACCATGGGGGGCGGGTGCTGAGCGTGCACCCCACTGTTCTCTGTGTGGACGTACAGGTTCCCAGCACTGCTGTTCACAGCACCGCCCTTCCCTGTCTGATGCCTCACACCTTTAGCCAAGATCAGCTAAAACACAGTATCTGTGCTCTGCAATTTATAAGGAAAGTAAACTCAACTTTCATAGCTCGGGGGCTGGGAGGTCCAAGGCCACAGTGCTGCATAGACATCCCCTGCAGAGAAGGTCATCTTGTGACAGAAGCCTAGAAGAACAGGCAGAGCTCAACAGACCCTGCTCCATGGAGACCCCCCATCAGCAGACCCCTTCTCTGTGACAGACCACCCCCTCTGTCAACAGACCCTGCTCCCCATGACAGACCACTGCTGGGAGCCATCCGTGAATTGTGCATGTGTTGTAGGGACAAACGAGGCAAGGCACCAAATATAGCAAGAAACAGTTTTATTTGGCTGCAGCCAGGTTCAGAGGGCACAGTTTTACTGTAATCAATCAATCCCCTGAACCAGGAGTTCAGATAGTTTCAGTTTTATACCCAGCATGTAAGGGGAGGGGCTCAGAAGTTCACATAAAAGCAGCTTTTTCTTTCACTGTTCTGGGCAAGTTAACCCTTCAAGGACAACATCTGAGAAGGAGAGAGCTGCTTCTCCCTTTTCTTTCCTCCCTCTGCCAGCTGTTACCATGGAGCCCAGTTGTAACTTAAAAATGTAGACATCTCTGTGAAGCCCAGCTCAAGGCCAGAGGCCTTGTTTGCACATTTCTTCAAAGTACTATACTGGATATGTTTGTGGAAAACTAGTAAGGGGTGTCCAGCACCTGGAGTGCAGGTCTCTTCTCGGCCAGTGGCCAAGTAAAACAGGGCGATGTGGGGAGCCATTCTTGCACATGAATGGGCACCTCCCTGATTGGGTGTGAGGCATTCTGGCCAAACTGTGTCGGAGCTAATCCCCACCCTCTCCAGGTGGGGGTGTGACTGACTATTGACCCTGAGACCAATCACTGACCCTGACCTTGGAATGCTGCCCCCCTTGACCTTCATTGGATGGAATTTTCCCCTGAATTTCTTGTTCCCCAATAAAAGGCCACTCCCTGGCGTGCTCTCTTTCTCTCTCTCCTGCTAGTCCTGAGTAAGCCTTGATGGCCCACCGGGTGGTTCGAGGTGAGAGCTAGAGGGAGGGCCATCTTGGACCTGGTCAGAGAAAAAGGTAATTGAGTCGTGTGTGTAATAATTTAAAAGGAGCCATTGAGGTAATACCTGGAGTGATAGATTCAAATTTTAAAGGACAATTAAATGTCACTGTAAGGTCCAATTATGCCCTAAGGCTTACTCCAAAGGATGCATTTGCCCAATTGATTTTATTGCCCTGTGATTCGGATAAACACCCGCAAGTAAATTTAGTTTCAAAACCGCCAGACTGAGTGTACTGGTCTCAGTTAGTGTGACAAGAACACCCTTTATTAGAACTTAAAATTAATCATAAAAAGTTCCAGGGCATTCTCGACACAGGGGCCGACATTTCTGTCTTTTCTAGTAGATTCTGGCCTAGGAATTGGCCCTTACATGTAGTACCAGCTAAACTAGGGGGAATTGGACAGATTTCACAGCCTGCTCAAAGTGCAAATTATCTCCATTGGGAGGATTCTGATGGGAACAGTGGAGTTTTAAAACCTTATGTGTTAGAGTCCTTACCAGCAAACCTATGGGGAAGGGATATTTTAGCAAAAATGGGATTGTTATTAGTTACTCCAAATTCTATAAGGTCAGTTGAGGAAGTTAATCAGAGGTATTTTCCTGGACATGATAAGGAGACCCTTCAGGGAGAGTATCTGTTTACAAACCAGTCTCCACGACAACGATTAGTAAATGCTTCAAGCCAAAATTTTTACTAGGGGCCCTGAGTATTTCCCTGATCCCTAAGACAGCTGAAAAAATCACCTGGCTCACAGAGGAGCCTGTATGGATTTCTCAGTGGCCCATCTCAGGGGAAAAACTTAAAATAATTCATAGGTTAGTTGAGGAACAACTTCAGGCTGGTCATATAGAACCAACACTCAGTCCTTGGAACACACCTATTTTTGTTATTAAGAAAAAGTTAGGAAATTGGAGATTGCTGCAGGATTTAAGGGCAATAAATCATGCAATTCGGCCTATGGGATCATTACAGCCAGGACTTCCCTCCCCCACAGCCATCCCTTTAGACTATAGCTTGATGGTAATAGATTTAAAAGATTGTTTTTTCTCTATAAGGTTACATCCTGGAGATTGTGAGAGATTTGCCTTCACTGTCCCAGCAATTAATTTTAAGGAACCTGTTAAAAGATATTGCTGGAAAGTACTCCCCCAGGGAATGCGTAATAGTCCTACCTTATGCCAGAAATATGTAGATCAGGCGATAGCTCCCATAAGAAATAGCTTTCCTGAATTGTATATTATTCATTTTATGGATGATATATTATTGGCTCATGCTAATCCAGCGGTACTTTCAGAAATTTTTACTCAGAGGCTTCACTTACAGCAATAAGGCTTCACTTATGCATTGATCCTCGAGAAATTCAAAAACTTCAAAAAATTCATATACTTCTGCCCTTGCAATATTTAGGTCAGATAATTCAAGGACGTACAATCCGTCCTCAAAATCTTCAGATAAGAGTTAAGGAGTTACATACCCTTAATGATTTTCAAAAGCTATTAGGAGATATTAATTGGCTGAGGCCATCCTTAAAACTAACTACTTCTGAGTTCAGTCCTTTATTTCAGATATTACATGGAAATCCTTCTCCAACCTCTCCACGTCAGCTGACCTTAGAGGCTAGAACAGCCTTAAAAAGGGTTGAAAATGCAATTAAAAATGCACAACTTACTAGAGTTGATCCTAAGGAAATAGTGTATTTATTAATATTTCCAACTGAGCATACCCCAACAGGAGCCATATGGCAAAGATTAGGAGTTATTGAGTGAATTTATTTAGCCCACTCCCCTCAAAAAACATTGATTCCTTTTCTTGACTCTATTGCTCAATTAGTAATTAAAGGTAGAACTAGGATTTTACAATTAATTGGATCTGAGCCTGATATCATAATTATTCCATTTTCTGTTCAACAGACTAATTGGTGTGGGAAGCCATTCTCACACATGATTGGGCATCTCCCGGATTGGGTGTGAGGCGCTCTGGCCAAACTGTGTCGGAGCTTTCCCCACCCTCTCCTGGTGTGAGAGCCTGTCCATGTGGGGTGTGACTGACCACTGACCCTGAGGCCAATCACTGACCCTGACCTTGGAATGCTGCCCCCTTCGACCTTCATTGGATGGAATTTTCCCCTGAATTTCTTGTTCCCCAATAAAAGGCCACTCCCTGGCGTGCTCTCTCTCTCTCTCCTGCTAGCCCTGAGTAAGCCTTGTTGCCCTACCGGGTGGTTTGAGGTGTGAGCCAGAGAGGTGAGAGCCGTCTCGGACCTGGTCATAGAAAAAGGTAATTGAGTCTGTGTGTTTATTTTGATCTCACTAGTTAACTTTTATGCCACGAACCTCTTTAATGAAACCAGTGCACTGGTCCCATGGTGGAATTTTGGCTTTTTCAAAGTTCTAGCTTATGGCAGATAGCTTTTGCTGATTTTCCTGGCCAGATAGATAGCCATTACCCTTGTGATAAGATTATCCAATTTGCATCATTAACGTCACTTATTTTTCCAAAGATTGTGCGTGCACGCCCTATAGATAAAGCTTTATCGGTGTTCACTGATGGTTCAAGCTCAGGTAAAGCAGGTTTTTATAGTCGTGTTCACATAGAGGTAATGCAAACTTCATATACTTCTGCCCAAAGAGCAGAGCTTAAAGCTCTGATTTGTGCCTTAAATTACTTTGCAAATGAGCCTATTAATATTTATTCTGACAGCTTATATGCAGTCGGTGTTACCAAAAATATTGAAACTTCAGTTATTGGGTATACTTCATCACAAGAGTTATTTGAATTATTTCATAATTTACAAAAGGCAGTGCTAATGCGAAAATACACATGTTTCATAGGCTCAAACTAATCTTCCAGGACCTTTAGTTTTCAGGTAATGACAAAATTGAAAAATTAGTAGCTTTTTGTCAACAGATGTTTTCACATGACTGTGTACAAGCTTCCCATTCCTTGCATCATCAAAATGCTTCTAGCTTACGTAAAAAAATTTAATATTACCAGAGAACAAGCTCGTCAAATTGTAAGCCAATGCCCAATTCACACTCCATCTCCACCATCAGGGGTAAATCCCCGTGGATTAAAACCAAATCAAATATGGCAAATGGATGTAACTCATATTCCTCAATTTGGTAAGCAATGTTATGTTCATGTCATAGTGGACACTTATTCCAGATTTATTTTTGCCACAGCACGTACTAAGGAAAATACTCAACATGTAATTTCTCATTGCCTAGCAGCCTTTTCTGTGTTAGGGTGCCCTATGCAGATTAAAACAGATAATGCACCAGCTTATGTAAGCTCTTCTTTTCAACAATTTTGCCAAGAGTTTCAAATTAATCATAAAACAGGAATTCCTTATAATAACCCCCAAGGTCAAGCCATTGTGGAAAGAGCTCATTTATCTATTAAGCTTCAATTACAAAAATTAAAAGGGTGAGTAGGTTTATGACTCCCAAAAATAGCCTCAATCATGCTTTGTTCATTTTAAATTTTTTAAACTGTGATGAAGAAGGTCCCACTGTGGCTGAGAGGCAAATGTCTCCCTCAGTAACAGGCCTTTTAGGCAGAGTTTTGTGGAAAGATTTACAGACTGGTCAATGGAAAGGCCCAGACCCAGTGATTATGTGGGGCAGAGGTCATGCTTGTATTTTTCCAGAAGGTGCTTTTCGTCCTGTCTGGGTGCCTGAACGCGCAATCGGACATGGAAGAGATAGAACCGAGATTCAAGAGACTAAAGATCGACCCGGAGAAGTCCCCATCCAAAAGGAAGAGATATCGGAAAAAGACAAAGAGAAACCAGATTGACCCAGCTGAAAAGCTGATTTCATGGGAAGAGGAGAAGAAGCTAACAACACAGGCTTCCCGAATAATTTGACTCCTAGGAAAGAACAGGACCCCAGTCTTGATGGTAGCGACAGTAATTGCCCTGCTGGGCTGTCAGGTAAAGGGGGATCAGATAGACACTTACTGGACATATTTCCCAGATCCACCCCTGGTACGCCCAGCTGTGTGGACTGGAGAATCTATCCCAGTGTTTACTAATGACTCATTCATGATGGGAGGATTTACAGATACTCATATTACTCCCAATCATGTGACTAGATTTAATTATTCTGGCTACAGTGCCCAATTACCTTTGTGTTGGTCCCACGATAAACATGCTGGCTATCTGAAAGTATCATTTGAGGAAAAGACAGCAATTGGTAGACCTAGACTGACTAGTCATACTATTTATGGAGACTTAAGACCTTATACTAGATCAGTAATTAAGATGGGACTTTCCCATAACACGCCAGTCATTTCTGCAGAACCTCCACGGATATCCCACTGTCCAAACAGTTCTACAGTTGAGATTGGCACCTTTCCTAGACGGATGGATTGTGTAAATACCTTTCCTGTACAACATAAGGTGTCTAAAGATAGTGGGTATATTTTAGATTGGTCTCCAAAAATTGATAAGAGACAATTATGAAAAAATTCTGCTAACGACACCTGCAGGATTTGTTAGTAATATTTTGACTTACAGTGAGGGTGGTATTCAAAAAGATGTTTGGCGCTTAATTGCTGCCTCAGAATTCTTACATTTTACAGACAAGCCTTTACCAAAATTTATTGGCAAGAACTGTAGGGAGGGATCTTGCTATGGCTTACGAGCCTGTGTCCAATCTCCTTATGTTTTAATTATTGGAAATGTAAAAGTTAAATGGATAGATGACAGATATGTTGTCACATGTAACAAATGTAACCTAACCAATTGTATTACTAGGTATAATGGAGGAAAAGGAGTGCTGGTACTTCATCAGCCCTCTTTTGTTTTATTGCCTGCTAATATTTCAGAGCCATGGTATGCTGATACTGGTTTACAAGTCTTGCAGCAAATTCATGCCCAGCTAGCAAGACCTAAACGTGCTATTGGAGTTATAATTGTTGGTGTTTTGGTGTTAGTTTCTTTTATTGCATCCACTGTTTCTGCATCTCTGACATTGTCTCAAAATATTCAGCATGCAAAATTTCTTAATAATTTAGCTCAAAATACTTCCAAGGCTCTGGCATAATCAAGTAAATATTGATGAAAGGATTGAGACTAAATTAAACACCTTAGAGGCGACTTTTATAGACATAGATAATGAACTTTCAGCTTTAAAATTTAAAGAAAGGCTTAAATTCCATGCAAATTATAAATATATGTATGTGTTACAGCTGCCAAGTACAATGCTTCTCTCTGGGATTGGGAGAAGGTTAAAAACCATTTGTTAGGTATTTGGCAAAATAATAATAATAGCTTGGAACTTCATCACCATATCCAAGACATTCAAAATAATAGAGCTGATTTTTCAGATCCTTCTTCTTTGGCTAACCAAATATTGAAGGAGTTAAATGGATTTAACCCTGGAAATATTCTTAAACACTCGGCCTGGTACATTATTCGATTGTTCTCCTTGCTGTTAATTCTCTTTTGTGTTGTAATTATAGGATGGCGAGTCTTCGGAACAAGAATGCAGAAACTCGAAAGAGTGAACCACTGCCTGATTTTTAAGAGAAAAAAGGGGGAATATGTGGGGAGCCATTCTCGCACGTGATTGGGCACCTCCCTGATTGGGTGTGAGGCGTTCTGGCCAAACTGTGTCGGAGCTAATCCCCACCCTCTCCTGGTGCGAGAGCCTGTCCGTGTGGGGGTGTGACTGACCATTGACCCTGAGACCAATCACTGACCCTGACCTTGGAATGCTGCCCCCCTCGACCTTCATTGGATGGAATTTTCCCCTGAATTTCTTGTTCCCCAATAAAAGGCCACTCCCTGGCGTGCTCACTCTCTCTCTCTCTCTCTCTCTCTCTCCTGCTAGTCCTGCCTTGCTGGCCCACTGGTTGGTTCAAGGTGAGAGCTAGAGGAAGGGCCGTCTCGGACCTGGTCAAAGAAAAAGGTAATTGAGTCGTGTGTTTATTTCTATCTCACTAGTCAACTTCTATGCTACGACCCTCTTGTATGAAACCAGCGTGCTGGTCGCGCGGTGGAGGGCGACACTAAAATAGGAAGTTTATCTACATTGAACTCTTTTGCAGAGACTCTTGTTGACAGTTCTAAAATCAGCCATGGTGAAGATTTGTGGAGAAGCCCAATTAAGACCTTCCTGTGGAGAAAGGGGGTGCCACTACACATGGACTAAGCCATGTTGGAGCCATTGGGCAGGAAAGCCTGGTATCTGGAACTCCCAGTGGGAATCCACTGCTCTGAGAATGCCTGGTTCATGTGATGTCCTACCTAGCTCACTGCTCAAGTTCTAGCATAGCTAGATATGAGAGTGGCCCTGGAATCACATAGCCTCCTGGAGATGGGTGTGGCTTGCCAAAATGCCAATCAACCTGTTTCCTGCAAGATCCCCACCACGCTGAGAGGCAGGCACCAAACAAGACTACCAAGACTCCTCCTGCTGAAACCTCATCCCTACCTTTGAGGGACTCCCCTTAAACAAAAAAATTCAGGGCCTTTTTTAATTGTTTAGCTCCAGCTCCTATCAGGACTGGGAGATCCATGAGGTGCTCCTCTTTTTATATCTAGTTTCTGGCTCTGTCTTTATTTCTTACTGATTATTTTGGACTTATTATTTTCCCAGGCAGCTCAGACCTCCTGAGAATGAGCCTACCCTGTTGGGGTCTGGACACCTCATGATAGACTGCTCCCTTCGTCCACAGACCTCTGCTCCAGGGCAGACTCTCCATGACAGACCCCTCCCCTCCATGGCAGACCCCTTCTCCACGGGCATCAGTCTGACCTGCTTCCCGTCAGCTCCTAACGCACCTGCCTCTACTTGACTCTCACCATGGCCGTCACACTCACCAGCAGTTGTGAAGGATAAACATTCAATCCACCATGACAGTCTACTGTTGGGTTCGTTGCTTGTGGGAGGCCATCCATGAAATTCGTGAGGACCTTCTCTGGCATGGAAGCCAGGGAGGGATAGGCCTGGCATTGGGAACGTCCTGTGGCTCTCCCATGACAGTAGATCGCCCACTGATGTGACTTCCCCTCTGCTCTGCCAGGAAGGTTCCTCATAGTTGTACTGGAGATGGGCATATCCGTTAAGAACTGAGCAGCCCACCTTTATCCTATTCTGGTAAAGAACATTCTAGGGAAGGCCTTTGATGTTTCCCAGTATGAATAGAGCAGGTTGGGCTCCGTCTTTGTTCAGAAGCTCCATGACTCTGATCAGCTTGCCCCTCCTGCCCCTGCTTTTGAAACTACTTTCTGTGTTCTCTGTGTGTGTTTCCCTTGCTGTTTTATTTCTTTTACCTTTAACTTCCCAGCCAGCCCATTCTCCCCAGGGAAACCCCAGTCCCACTGCCCTCTTGGGACCTGGGCAGAAACTGGTGCCGGGAACAAGAATCCTCATTTCGTGGAATTCAAAGGTAACTAGTGAGTGAGTGTCTCTCTCTCTCTCTCACAGGAAAAGCGCTTGTGAATTAGCAATTAGTATAGTAAGAGAAAAAGGAGAGAGAAAAGTTTATTTATCATGGGATGTTAAGCATGGGGAACTCTTTGTCTTCAGAGAAAGAAATTCATTTTGCAATTCTGAAGATGATAATAAAACAAAAGGGAAAAGATAAAGATCACAGCTCACTCAGTTCTTAAGAAGATTAGGGAAATATGCCCATGGTTCTGTGAAGGGGAGTCACTTGATTTACATATGATTGAAAATGTAGAAAAAAATAGGGCTGCAGTAGTTTATATTCTGCCCAAGATATTGGTTGATGGCCTTCGGGAGACTTACTTACGGGCCACTTACTTATAGGCCTTAGAGATGCACTTAAAAGTCAGACCTAGTGAACAGGCTTGCTCAGCACCTAGGGCTTCTTTGTCTGCAGGTAACCTAACACACCTAAGACAGGCAGAAAAGTTAAGGGCAAAGCAAAGTCACATCTGGTTTGTAACTGTGGAAGTCAGAATACAGCCTGCTGGCACAGCCTGAGCAAAATTCATTGTTCACAGCCCCAAAAGGCAGAGAAGCAGCCCAGATCAAATTTCATTAGGAAGAGAGAGGCCCGGAGATAGAGATGGGGAAAGGGCCAGAGCTGGGAGACACAGAAGAGGATTCTCAGTCAGAGGAAGTGCTTGAATTAGAAGCAGACCTCCGTAATTTGCATTTAAATGGTCCTGCCCCAACCACTCTCCCTTGGGGAAGACCGAGGCTTACACCCTTGAACCTGTCAGCCACAGACCCTTCCCTACTCCAATGTGGTCTCAACCACTTGACAGGAGGGAAAAGATATCTCAGGATTTAAACTATTTGCAATTTTCAAGCTGATAGGTGGCCCAAACCAATGTGTACCAGTTCATACTGCCATTTCTTTTAAAACATTAAAAAAATTAATATTTTTTTCATCATATGGCCTGAACTCACCTTTTTCTTCAAAGCCTGATAGAATCTATATGTAGTGACATTTTGCTGCCTTATAACTGGGTCTCGCTAGCAAAAGCCTGTCTTTCAGGAGGTGATTATTTGCTATGGCAATCTAACTGATGAATTTTTACTCTGAGCAGGCAGAAGTTAATAGAAGGCATGGAATTATTATGGTAGACATATTGACGGAGATGGGAAAATTTACTGATTTGGACAACAGTTAAATTATGATTTGCAAGCTTATAATCAGATTAATGCATGTGCCAGAAGGGCATGGAGAGACTTACTAATAAAGGAGAAAACCCCCTAGATTTCAGTCAAATCCAATTCTCAGGGACCAGAGAATTGTTTGGGCTTGTGGCACATTTATACCAAGCCGCAGATTGCATGATAAGAGATTCGGAGGACTCTGAGGTATTAGTTAAACCTCTAGCTTTTTTTTTTTTTTTTAATATTTTTTAGTTGTAGTTGGACACAATATCTTTATTTTATTTTATGTGGTGCTGAGGATCGAACCCAGTGCCCCACACATGCCAAGAGAGCGCGCTACCACTTGAGCCACATCCCCAGCTCCAAACCTCTAGCTTTTGAAAATGCTAATAAAGTTTGCCAAGAAGTGATTCAATTGCATTGTGGATTATATCCACCTTTGTGCCAATGTCAGGCAGGCACATCTGCAGGGATCAGCCATAGCCACCACATTAAAACAGGTTCTACGGACTCCATCAAAGGAGAGCCGTGATGGAAGGCAGGGTTTTAACTGGGAAAACAGGGCCAGAGATTGCAGGCTTTTGCCCAGTCAAATAGATGTGCCAGGCTTCTGCCAGAGCCATGGGGGCGGGGGGGCAACCACTAGGCAAGGGAATGGCATGCCCAGCAGGTCGCCAACAGGCTACCTCCACTGATGCCAACACTCCACTGATGCTACCTCCCCTGCCCACAGTGGGGTGTAAGCTCCAGGTCGGGGTCCTTCCCTCTAGGCCAGACTCCTTATGTGCAGGCTCAACCTCCCGGTTAATCTGTTCAGGGACCAGGAGTTTGGAGCTCCATCCAGCTTCAGAATTCCTCCTGACTCCAGAGATGAGTCCACAGTTTGTTCCTACAGGAATTTATGGGCCACTGCTGCCAGATACAGTAGGTTCAATACTGGGAAGAAGCAATCTAACTCAAAAAGGAACTCAGTTATCACCAGTGTTCTTGATGTAAATTTTAGTGGGGAAATTAAGATTACAGTTCAAACAAATTCCATTATTCGGCTTTCTCTAAAAGATGCAATTGCACGATGATTTTCTTGCCTTGTTGTTCTGCAGGGAAAGATTCATCAGACAGACCTGGCAAATTCAGACTCCGGGTCCCTGGACAGAGCCTATTGGGCTCAATTTGTTAAGCAAGAGTTTCAGGTGGAAGATGACCAGAATCTTATTGGAGGGTTCTTCTGCCCAGAGGAATCCAAGTCACCCTAAATAGCCACTCTAAATCTTAATATTTCAAATAATGAACAAATATAAAACACAAACACTCAGAAATACATACAAAAATGAATATAGGTTGGGGGCTGTGGCTCAGCAATAGAGCGCTTGCCTAACGTGTGAGGTCCTGGGTTCGATCCTCAGCACCACATAAAAATAAGTAAAATAAAGGTATTGTGTCCAACTACAACTAAAAAATAAATATTTTAAAAATGAATATATACAAAAGTGAAGCCCCTGATAGATCAAAATGGCTCCGGTGGTTTATTTAAGGGGGGTACATCAAAGGCAGGGGTAAGGTTTCAAGGGTGGAGTCTTGCTTTGTGATGTCTTGCAGTCAGCGGGTTGATTGACATATTGGCAGGTCACACCCATCTCAGGTGCTGTATGGGATCTTTGGCAGAGCTTGAGGGGGAAGTTCACCCGCGTCAAGCTGTCAGTCCCTGTGGGGAGTGCCCCAGGGAGTTCTCAGTGCCAGACTTCTCCCCTCAGGAGGCTTCAATGTGTAACATAGTCCACACACAGCCCATAGACAGCTTGTGACCAAGAGCACCCTCTATTGGATCTTAAAATTAACTATAAAAATTTTAAGGGCAGAATAGATACAGGAACAAATAAATCAGTCATCTCTAGCAAATTTCGGCCCCAAAATCGGCCTTTGCGTACTGCACCTGCTAGTCTAGAAGGAATGGGACAGACCTCTCGGCGCCCAGTACCTCCGAAGGGAAG